ACAGGGGGGGGGGGACGTGAGCGAGGGAGGAAAATAGAACGGGGGAAAGGGAGGGCGGGGGGGCTGATGTCAGCTTGTCGGGCGGAAAACCCAGCGCGCGGGTACAGGTGGGAGTTGGCAGTTGGGGAGACACGAGTGATGCATGGGGCGAGTGCGAGGGGCCGCGGGCCCCCGCCTTGCCCCCACCACCAGACCATAGGCCCTAGCACTCCAGTGCCTCCGACCGCCGCCGCCGCCGCCGCCGGGGGCCCCGCGGGTCTCCGGCCGACGCTAGTCTCCCCTCCCCTTCCCCCTCCTCTTCACTCGTTCGTGGTTTGTCTTTCCCCCCTCCCCCTTCCACCCCTTCCACCCCCCTTTTCCCCCCCCCTTCCCCCCCCCTTTCCCCCCCCTCTCCCTCCCCTCTCCCTCCCCTCTCCCTCCCCTCTCCCTCCCCTCTCCCTCCCCTCTCCCTCCCCTCTCCCTCCCCTCCCCCTCTCCCTCCCCCACCTGACAGGTGTCCCAGGAAAGACGCAGTCGGCAGGAGCGCCTGAGTCACCAGCAGCAGCAGGAAGGGGGCCACAGTCGCGGACACGGAAGACCACCCCAGCAGGCTGAACCTCGCGCCGCGGCCACCACCTGTACGGCATTGCCCGTACAAATGCGCCATGCATTTGCAGGCAGGCCCCGGGCACACCCAGACAGCATTAACCATTGCGCAAAGCAACACAAACGCCGCACAACCTTCGTTACCAAAATTTATATTACATCGGCTTAGTACCTAGCAGCTACAAAACACCGATTAGCTAAAAGGTAGAATAGGTACGTGAAATATCAGAGGGCCCACGGCATTGCTCGTTCTCCCCTCCTCCCGCCCTCCCGCCCTCCCTCCCCCGATGTGTGTGGTGGTATCAACCAAAAGCACATAAGACTAGGTCCGATCTTGAAATCACGTCGTCAAACCACATCATCAGCTCGGATCAGGTGGCAAGGTTCATTACTGCATTCCGGTCAGGACGATTCACGAATCAGCAGCCTATCCACACCCATCCACACCTATCCACACCTATCCGCACCTATCCACCACACCGACCCGCACCCACCTCGGAACTCCCCCCAGGCAATCAGTGTCATCCAGCCGAACAGCACTCCGGAGTACCCCACCAGCAGGGAGTGACGGAAGCGCTCCAGGCCCAGAACCGCCACTGCGACGTGGTGCAGCGCCAGGCAGATCTGTACATGTACACACACCAACAAACACACACACCAACACACCGTACATACATACGTCATACATACATACATACGTACGGACGGACGAGAACATGCAGGCAGACACACCGGCACGGTGTACAAGCACGGAAGGGACCAGCACCTCCAATACCCACCCACCGCCGACTAACAGCCCTAATACACTTCCCCCCCTCCCTTCCCCCCCCCTTCTGCAGTCTGCAGCCCCCATTCGCTTTTCCGTACATTCCGTACACCTACCTGACCTCCGCCCCCTGATTCCCCCACCCAAACCCAAACCCCTCACATTTCCTGCCCTCGTGTGACACTCCTCCTCACCGCCGCGCAAGTCAACAACAGCAGCAAGCTGACCCGCAGGTACTCCAGGGTAGGCACCAGCGAGGGCCCCCTTGCTGCTCCTGATGCTGAATCTTCTGCCGGTGCGCCCTCCGCTAGCGCTGCCAAGCCCCACAGCGAGCTGATGTTGAGCACCAGGTGCAGCAATTCAAAGTGGCAGATCTGGGGGGTTACGGTAAGGTGACGTGGTGTAGGACATGTTGGTAGAATCGGGCGGTAAAAAGGGGAGGATTCGGAGGATAAAGGAGGGGTGTAAGGGAGCCGGAACGGCGCTACGGGGACAGGGCTACGGGGACAGGGCTACGGGGACAGGGCTACGGGGACAGGGCTACGGGGACAGGGCTACGGGGACAGCGCTACGGGGACAGGGCTACGGGGACAGGGCTATGGGGACAGGGCTACGGGGACAGGGCTACGGGGACAGCGCTACGGGGACAGGGCTACGGGGACAGGGCTACGGGGACAGGGCTACGGGGACAGCGCTACGGGGACAGCGCTACAGGGACAGGGCTACGGGGACAGCGCTACGGGGACAGGGCTACGGGGACAGGGCTACGGGGACAGGGCTACGGGGACAGCGCTACGGGGACAGGGCTACGGGGACAGGGCTACGGGGACAGCGCTACGGGGACAGGGCTACGGGGACAGGGCTACGGGGACAGCGCTACGGGGACAGGGCTACGGGGACAGGGCTACGGGGACAGTGCTACGGGGACAGGGCTACGGGGACAGGGCTACGGGGACAGCGCTACGGGGACAGGGCTACGGGGACAGGGCTACGGGGACAAGACCCCTCCCTGATCAGCCGGGGATGATGGCGGTGTGAGGGGCGGAGACGGGTGGGTGGGGGTTACAGCGGGCGGTGGGTGTTGACGGGTTGTGGAGAGAGGAGCGGGACGGTTGGAGGGGCGGTTGGGGGTGCTGTTGTGTGCAGTGTGTGGCTTTGAAGGTACTTAAAACATGGCTGAATGTGAGCTGGGGGGTGGCTATGGGGAGCCGGGGAGGAGGTGTGGGGAGCGCGGTGAGGACGGGGATTTTAGGAGCTGTACGGAGGTGTACGTGGCGCTCGCGGCAAGCGAGGTGAGGAAGGATAGCATCATGTGGAGTCGTCAGCTACAGCAGTGCGCCGTACTTATTATGTGTAGTACACGTGAGCCACTGCAGTCGCATTAGTAGCAGCAGCAATAGTAGCCGTGGCCTAAGGCAGCGAAGAAAGCAAATGTAGGGTTTGCACTCGCCAGCGTGGTGTGCCCTCCAGGCGCGGCCTCCCCCGTCTCGTCGTCCCATCACGTGAAGGGGACTGGTCTTTACCTGGGAGATGAGTGCTCGCCACCATTGGTGATCAGTCACAAAGCGGTGGTAGCTGAGTCCGACGGCGGCGGGCGACACGCCCCGCTGCAGCAGCCAGAGCCACACACCCACGCATAGCGCTGTCACGGCGGAGGTGCCGGGGTGGTTGATTACCTGGGGATGGGGTGGCGTGGCAAGGGTGGGTCTTAAGCACAGGGAGGCAGGGTTGGCGTGTAGGGCCACCCGGGTGGGGTAATGCTTGTGAAGGGCGACAGTCCTGCAGTGGCGCATGGGGCCAGCGGGCTATGAGGAATGAGGTCGTTGTATGGCAAAGCATAAGCAAATTTGGACATATCAGCGTGACTGCGGATAAGCCACGTGTACCTGCAGATGGAGGGGTGTGGCCATCATCACAGCAGTCTTTCTACGAGCCAAAGCTGCTTCGCCCCATTTATCGTTATTGCTGATGTAAAACCGGGGCACCTAAATTGTTCGTGGTTGCGTACATTCGTCCTTGCTGCTCAAGCTGTCTTCAGGAGGTTAGCCGTTGGCCACCGGACTTCTTTGGCAACATTCGATGCAATTATGGCTGCAGTGCTTTATTCTTTTAGACTTTTGAGTGAAGGCATACTTCCTTGCGCCAAAGGCTACAACGAGGCGATGCGTGCACTCCAGGGGAGTGGTGGTGGGAAAAACTCTCGCGACGCAACAACCATGCCTGAATATGCACGGTTATGATTGTGCTGGTATCAATGCGAGCGCACCTCTAAAACCCTCCTTTCTCTTCACATTTGCCACGGACAAAAAGTGTTGTTTGGCAAATTGTACCGGTAATATCTGGCTGTTCAGGTATTGGGCTTTAGCCAACTTGAATCTCCGTAATGTAAGAAACTAAAAATGCCATATAGCATTACTCCAAAAGTGCGGAGGTGTTTCGTCGCGGCCAGTCGCAGTCGTTAGACGCGGTTGAGTCAAGGTTTCCCCCGGTGCCCCTAGAATGAGGTTCTACAAGGCATAGAGGATTTGACAGTCAGAAAGTTGGCTCAGGAGGAGGAATGCGGAAAAGGACAGGTTTACCCCTTCCAAGGCAGCGTGAGAACGCGCCGGCTCAGAATTCTGTGAATTCAACTCTTGGGGAGGACAATGGGGACCCGGAGGCGTTTCGTGGATGGGTGAAGACCTGGACATGGACTCTGTAAGTGGGAGTTAGGAAGTGCGTTTTCGCCTCTTTCATCTACTATGCATTCTCAATTAGTTCCATCTTGCATCAACGCGATGTGATCTGTAGCGATGCCTCGTCCACTTCGTGGCGTGTGCGCAGCTAACAAGGGATTTCTTGCTAACCAACCCACGGCGTGCTTGTTTGAGCGTGCAGGACTGGATTTTGCTTTTACATGACAGCAAGTTGGGTAGTCGATGCGTGCCTCCCTGCAAACCCTGTGGCATCTGTGGAATTGTTCAAGCAGGTGTGAATCTTCAGTCAGGCGACAGTAGATGTGTCCTTACCGTGTCTAAGCTGCTCGTCAGCAAGGGGACAAGGGTGTCTCCCTGTATGATGGGGCGGCTGCTCCCTTCACTTCTCCGCCCGCACATGTCGTTACGCGTGCAGGTACCTCTGCTGGTATACCAGATGAGCTCCACTGCATTCTTCACCGCTTTGGTGCTGAACTTGACGTCCCTTCTCTTCGAGGACAATGCACCCAAGCGGCAGCTGGCGCTGCTCAGCTGCGCCATTAAGGGCGCAGCTTGCCACACCGATATGCTACTGGTCACGGGGCGCGCGCGCGTCGTCTTTGACGCTTTTGGCGCGATGTGGGTCGGGATAGGGTATGTGAAGGGACCCGCCATCTGGTCAGACAGTACACGAAAGGGAGAAAGCTATACATCTTGTTGGACATCTCTCCCCCCTAGGCCTTGAAGAAATGGAAGAAGAAGAAGCGATCAAACCTGATGTGATAAAGTAAAATGCGAATACTTCTAGTGGATGTAGCAGTATGCACATATTCTGCTGACCCACACGTTTTGGAAACCTCTCCGCGTCCTGTTCACACCCACCAAGCCCCATCCCTACTCCACCGCCATGCCGCCCCCCTCCCCCGGGTCACTCGGCTTCACGGCCAATCAAGTCTCATTGCCACTCTATTGAAGCAACCTCCGTCCCTTCCCCGTAATGTGCAGACCCCCCTTCTTTATCGTGCACTGTTCCACACACTCTCTCTCTCTCTGTGCATGCGACCCACCGCCTTGCTCGGGCCCGGGCCTTCCCCCTCGCCCTCCAACAGCGTGATCCCTCAGCGGTACGTGCAGTGGATGGTAACCACGCCCACCATGGTCTATATCCTGTCCAAGATCTCGGACTTCACGCCGCAGCAAACCGCTACCGCCATATGCATGGACGTGGTCATGGTGCTCAGCGGCCTCATGGCTAACTTCGCTCCGGGGCCCTACCTGAATTGTGAGCGAACACTTGTCTGTTGGATGGTGATGGTGATGGGGATGGGGATGGTGCGATAAATGACGGGTTGATGGGCTTGGGGGACGCCGTGGTCAGGGTGAGGATGCTTGGTAAGGAGCACTCGTTCGCGCGTGGTTCGCTTTGCCCGGGCCGTAGGTCCGCAGGGAAAGAGGGGTGAGGTGGTGTCAAGTGAGCAGGGCAAGGCCTCGAAAGGCCTGCCATGGGGGGGGTATGGGGAGAAATCCGGCAATGTCCATCATAGGGAGGTCCAGGCGCACAGGCATGGGTCGAGCAGGGGCCGCCACGTGTATATTGCATATATTGTGGCGTAAGGTAGCGCCGCTGGTGGCGAGCAGGGCGTTATCGGCTCTGCGGGTGCCAGCCATCATCGCGTAGCATTTCAGCTATTCGGCTGCACATATGGGCCTTGGAGCAACTAGGAGTGAAGCAAAGGCTCAACCTCGAGGCGCAACCTCAGCCCCGGGTATCTGGTTTCCTTTTGTCTCACCGGCGCCACGTGGTTTAGCCGCAATGTGGACCCCACGACCTCCAATCCAGTGCGTGTGCATTACATCCATAAAGCGGCATCCTTACACCAGCCAGCCAGCAAGCAGCGACTTGTTGGCCACGTCAGTTGCAATAGAAGATGGGATGTAAGCAGCAGCAACAGCAGCAGCAGCAGATTGTACGAGCTAGGTGCGGGAGGCATTCCCAGGGGGCCCTTTGGAGCAGTTGACAGTTGCTGTTGGCTCTCAGTAGTCAGCGACCCTCGCCTCATCGAGCTGCTGCCCCGGGGGCCCGGCATCACTGCTGGGGACTGTGGCTGTGGCAGCTGCTTTTGTGGTGGCAGCACCGGCGCCCAGCTGTGGCTGGGGCGTAGCTGCTGTGCGGCAGGAGACAGGAGGTCACTTAGCGGGCTGGTGGTGGCAATAAAAAGGCCCTCCTTTGCCGCACCACCACCACCACCACGTCCCATCCAAAGGCGCTTGGAAAAACATAGTCGGGGGGGACTGGGCGGGGTCTTCTCCAGCCCTTACCTGCTGCGGCAGGTGGGGGGTTTCGCGTCGCCAACTATGGGCACCCGCGCCGAGGCGGCACTTCGCTGCTTATTGGCGGCCCGGCAGGCGCGCGTACTCGGCCACGGTCCCCTGAAAGCTGTCGCCGCTGTTGCCATCCGGGCACCTGCGATGTGACGTCTCGTAGACTGATGCTGTTTACGGAGGAGCAGTTGGGGAAGCCTGTGTAGGAAAGCATGTCGTAGGAAAAGCACCAGCAGCTGCAGCTGCAGGCAGGCGGTATATAGCAGTATACAACAACAGCACCAGCACCAGCACCACCACCAGCCAGACCATATCGGTAGCACAGAAGCGAGACTCTTTAGCGTACAAAGGACATATTCCTGTCTGAAAGCCTGCTGTCGCCGCGCCTGGCTGCTTTTGTACACTTCTTCCCGAGGGTCGCGGGCCGCTCCGTCCACTCCGGGTTCTTCCCACAAGAAGCAAAATACTTTTGTCCTTTCACACACGCATTCTCACCATTATCACCATTGTGCACACACACATACGCACACACGCACGCACGCAAGCTCTTGAAAACCAGCGCCCCCCCCTTAGCTTACTACGTTGGTGCTACAGTTTGCTCCTTTTCGGTGTAAACCGGCTTTGTACACGGGGTTGGTGTCCACGGTGACACCTAATGTGCTGTGAGTCCTAAACCTGGCTCATGCGGGTTTCATTTGATAGACCCTTCGTTGGGTCGTGCAGCATTGCGTATCGTCGCGTACCTCCACTTGGCCCACTATTGCACCCGTCCCGTTCCCCACCTGATCCCAACCCTTATACGACCTGGGCCCTTTCCCCTTGAGTCGCTCACTTGTCTGTGTGCCCTCCCCCTTCCCTATTTCCCCCTTCCTCTCATACACCATGTTGCACTTGTGTAATGTGCTTCCCAACCGGTATCATGTACGGCAACCGTACATGGTACGGCGTCGGCTTAATGGTGACCCAGGGCTGATGTTCAGCGTCAGCATGCTGTCCTTCGTCGGCGTGTTGTACATGATGGGCCGTATGGTGTTCTCGGCTGTGAAGGAGCACTCGAGCCCCTCCTCCCGCCGCTCTCTGCTGTTCATCTACATGTGCACGCTGCTCATATGGAGCATGTTCCCGGTGGCTTGGGTGCTCCATCTACTGAATTCCTCCTCGCCGTACGGAGAGTACCTGAACATTTTTGCCAACTTTATGGCCAAGGTGCGTCGTGGGGGCTGGGTAGGACGGAGGGAGGGAGGGAGGGAGGGAGGGGAGCTGCTGTGTGAGTGTGTATGTGTTTTGGTTTATCTGAGCCACGATATGGGGAAGAGGCCATATCCGAAGAGGTTGCACGAATAACTTCACACCGACGCGAGCTCCCTGGTCACCAGCGATGTGTGTAATAAGCCTTTCCCGTAACGATAGTATTTACATAGCTTAAATATCCCAAGGAGGAGATGTTGAACAGGCGCCCGTGAAATCAAGGGCCCGTATCAATGTGTGTCGCTGTAGTGGAGAGGCGCGACTGTGTGTGCATGTATGTGTATGTGTGTATGTATGTGTGTGTATCTCTAATTGCTTTAATTAACTGGGCTGCAAGGAGAAAGTGCTGAGTATGGCCCGCAAGGAACTTTAGAGAAGGCTGTATTGTTCCTGAAGAATAATGGCACACGTACGCGCGACTATATCTGTATATGTGTGCGTGTGTGTGTGTGTGTGTGTGTGTGTGTGTTTTAGTGTCGCCTCTTCGTCTGAGTGGCTGTGGGGACGAATTCCGGAAACCGACCAGAAAGCGCCCCTGTGCTGCTCCCCGCGCTTCATCCCAGCCCTGCACAACAGAATGCACGCTGCGGCTACCTCCGCCCTGCCTCGCTCCCCACAACACGCACCCGCAGGTCCTTTTCTCCTCGTCCATTATGTACGGCAACTACATGACGATAGCGCAGCGGCGGTTGTTGGCTCAGCAGGCGGCTGAGAACGCGCACCGCGTGCGGATGATCCAGGAGCTTCGGGATGCGGTGACACGCAAGGACCAGTTCATGAGCCTCATGAGCCACGAGCTGCGGACACCTCTCAACGGAATCATCCAGCTGTCAGACGCGCTGGTCAGTACGTGACCCGTGGGTCATCACACAAAATCTGGACACTTGTCGTTTCCTCCGGGTCCCGGATTTGTGCGCGGATTGTATTTGTGATGCTGGGTCGGACTTAGGCTTTGGCTTTTGTATGGGGTTGGGGATGGGGATGGCGAGCGTGCGAATGCAGGGTTGACGCACAGGCGCCCGGAGGGCTGTGTTGTACCCATTGCCGTTATGGTGACGTAAGCTACTGCTGGGTCTCCTCCCTCTCTACCCGGGTTGCTGGGGCTTTACCCGAATCAATTTACAACTGGGTTGTTGGAAGTTGCCAAGCCAGGAAGGAGCCTGTGTCCGGGAGGATGAGCAGAACGTGGTGGCTGGTGCTCCTGTATGTCCTGTGAAGGGACTGGCATTTACGGAGTCGTGGGTTATGGGTCAATCGGTCCCATCGCAAAGGTCGACGGTGTTCGTTGCATATGCATGGGTTTTCCAAGGACCTTGCGGCGGATAGAACAACCCACAACAACACGCAAAGTCAAAATCCAAAGAAACACAATATCTCATTTGGCGCCTGCTGATGTGGGTTCCTCCGCCATTCTTTTCAATATAAATACTGTTTTGATAAATGGATTGATACGTCGCTGTGCTGCGTCGCTATCGCCCTGCTTTCCCAAAACAGGTTCGCGGCGCTGGCGGCGAGATGAACCCGAAGGGACAGCACTTTGTGAAGACTATCAAGAACAGCTCCAACCACCTGCTCAATATCATCAACGACATCCTGGACGTGGCCGCACTCAAGGTAACGTGCGTGCGTGAGAGGGGACGTGTGAAGTAAAAGTTTCGCTACAGCACGCATTCTTCCTAACTCAACCCCAAGTGCAGATTCGTCTGTGCACGTAAACGAATGCGAAACGTGGCGTTACTATTGAGGGAATCTCCCGGGGGAATCGTAAAACGATGGGAAACGAATTACGCACCTTCCTGTGGACGCAACCCTCCCCTTTTCCCACCCACCCCACCCATTCACGTGCCGTGCTCTTAGGAGGGCAAGCTGACCATCAAGCATGAGCTGTGCTCCCTCGCCAAGGCGGTGGAGCACGTGGTGGACATTGTGGCGCCGTTGGCCCGTAAGGACGTCGCCATCGAGCGGTCCGTGGACCCACACACGCCACTCATCATTGCGGACTTTAGCAGGGTCATCCAGGTAAAAAAACGTTTTGATGTTGCGCGACCTGATGTGGCACGGCCTTTTGTGGTCTCGGAAGCTTTTCCGGAAGGGATTTGGGGGGGCCGGGGAGGGAATTGGTACTTGGATGCAGCATGACAGGGCAGGGGTTTAACATTGCAGGTGTTCGAAGTGGAGGTTTTTAAGAAGGTCGCTGCTGTACGTCAGGCTGCTGTACGTCAGGCTTCGTAGTATTAATAGGTTATTTGATAGCAATTTCCCATATTGTCGGGACATGGTGTGCAAAACATGTTGCAAACTCCCGTCATCACCTGGGCCTGGGCAACCTTCCTCTGTCCTCTGTCCTCTGCCATATTCGCCCCGTGCTTTTCTCCCCAGCATCCGGGGGCCTTTTACCTTCCCGCCTGCCCTCCCTGCCCTTTTTGCACCCCCAGATCCTTTACAACCTGGCCGGTAATGCACTCAAATTCACCCACCGCGGCCGGGTATGCGTACGGGTGTCTCCCTCGGCGGACGGCAGCTCGGTGACGCTGCAAGTGGCGGATACGGGCATTGGCATCCCGCCTGAAAGGATCAGTGGCATATGGGGCGCCTTCGAGCAGGTAGGGGGCCCAGTCTGTAGGGTCTGTCTGTCCGGTGGGTTTGGATGGGCAGGCTGGTCCTCTGCTGGCTACCGCCAAGCTGCTACCCTTCTTGATAGCGGCTGGTGGCGATGGCGGCTGCCGGACATGGGGCCTGGGACGCAGCTACTCAAACACTGAGCAACCTCACCCCTTGAGAAGTGTCCTTGTTACGGTCCCCTTTCTGCAACCGCCAGCGCCTGTGTTGCTTGCTTTTAGAAGAATTTACCTCTGTTGGCAATGAAGGCAGAGGTACCACAGCTTGGTTATTTCGTCGTGTCGGGTGCCTGCCGGGAGGTGGTCACATAAATCAAAGTCTTGGCGTCCATGTCGTCATGCACACCCATGATCCCACTACCGGATCTTTTCTTTTCAGACGAGAGCTTTTCCGGCTCGCCATGTAGCATCATCGCGAAATGGGCCTGAGCGGGCGCTGACTCGCCATCGTAATCACGACTAACCAGGAGTTGATATGAGGATAACGTGGGTGTGTTTGGCGGTGACGCCTCCCTGACGGTGATCTCAGCCTGGTGCGGAAAACGGGGTACCTACCGAGGGGTACCCTCCTCTCGCGTCTACTATAGAGAGATTTGATCGTCTACAGATAGCGCCCTGGTGTATTAGATAGGGACCGCCCCATTCGATTACATCATCAGGGGTGCGATTCATGGACGATGAGTCGTTTCTTGATAAATCGTCAAGTTAGCCGTTACATCACAATTGCTCTAATCGTTGTCTATCTAGTCTCGTTGTGTTGGTTGCGAAACGCCGTTCTGAATATGGCAAGTATGGTGGTGGTGAATGGGGGTAGTGAATGGTGGTAGTGAATTGTGCTGGTGCCGGTGCTGGTAATGGTGGTGCTCATGGTGATGATGGTGGCAACACCGGGTGGTACATGAGTCGGTGTGTGGTGGCTGGCTTCTTGAATGAAGGCGCGGCGACGGCGGCCGGATAGTCTCCCCTCGCGCCTTTCTCCCTCCCTCTCTCTCTCTCTCTCTCTCTCTCTGTCGTGGCTGCTCAACCTACCGCTACATCTGAAGTCTAAATCGTCATCCCTTCGTGCCTTGAATAGTTAATGCATCGCCCCTGTTTGCATACCTCCCTGCCTACCTACCCCCCTCTCTTACGCGACCCCTCTCAGTTCTGCTTCTTGTACACTCTTTCCTTGGCAGCAGCTTCACTCGCTCACGTGGTTCGTCTTTCCCCTCTCCTACCGCGTTCAGGTGGACATGTCCGTGACGCGCAAGTACGGCGGTACGGGTTTGGGTCTCAACATCGTGAAGCAGCTGGTGGAGGCGCACGAGGGCAAGATAGAGGTCCAGTCGGCGGAGGGCCGGGGGACCACCTTCACGGTGACGTTGCCGGTGCTGCAACCCTGCACGAGACAGAGCCTGGAGCTGCAGGTGCGGTGTGGTGCGGAGGAGAGGTGTTGCGGTGACACAAAGGCTCTGGGCCTGGGACGGAAAAGGGGGGAGACATGGGCGAGGACCGTGGCGATGCGTTGGGCATTACAAATATCACGATTAATAAAGCTTCGCAACCAATAGACTCTACCCTCGCAACGTCGCCACGCCAAGCAGGGACTAAAAAATGTCTGGGTCTGAGCGATGTTTTGATGGTTCTTAGCTCTCCACGATTTGGCCCATTTTGCGTCCGTGTCCAGTCCTAATTGGATTCTACGTTCCCGTAGTGCGGCATCTCTTTTTTGATGCGCATGGCCTCTCCTACCTTTCCATGATGGTCCCTTTTCTTCGCTGATACTGTGTCTGTGTCCCTCATGTCGCTGTTGCTGACGTGCTTGTCTAATGTAAACTTCGCTGTTGCTCCCGCCCTTGCGTGTGTGTCCCGCGGCGGCTAACACTTCAGGTAATGGAGAGCCTGTCAAAGTGCGGCCACGCATCTGCCCGGGCGGCCGTGAGCAGGAGGCGGTCGAACCGGTTGGCCAGCACCAGCGGCCGCAAGCCCAGGTAGGTTGTCACTGGCACGAAAAAGTGCAGGAGAGATGAAGGACGCATGAGGGCGTGGGTGCGGCTGTGGGTGCGGCTGCGGCTGTGGGTGTGGACATTTTACTCAAGCGTGGATCACGTCTACTTACTCACCTGCTGCCACAACCCTACATATGCACATTCAAACACAGTGCCCGTCTTCACAGAGCATGAATTCCTTTTGTTTCACCAGCGCCCCCTGCTCCCCTCTCTCCCCTCTTTCTCCTCTCTGCGGCTTCTCCTCTCTGCGCCCCACCACCACCGCTGCGCCCCAAACTCCACGGCACAGCCTGGAGGAGACAGCTTCCAAGCTGGCCAGGGGCACTACTCGCCATGCCAGCGGCCTCACATCACCTTCAAGGGTGGGTCGTCAAGGGGGGGGGCACCGAAACGGAGTCACAGGTAGAGGTAGAGGTAGAGGTAGAGGTAGGAACCCATGGGGCGTAGTATCGTGTGTATGGCAGGCAGGAAAACCAAGGTCTGCTGCGATTCCGTAAAAAAAACCTGGCTCCAAAAGGTTATTGTGTTGGTGTGTTGATGTGTTGGTGTGTTGATGTGGGGGTTTCCGCCGAAGGTGGTCGGTTCGGGAGATTCCCAGGTGCGGCCGATTCGGATGACGAAGTCGTCGTGTATCAAACCATGCGATGAGGGCGTTGCTTTGTTGTGTTGTTGCACCATGCATCATCTCGCACATGACGGCCAATCCCGCCCCGCCTCGCTTGGGGATCTTCTCCTCCTCCTCCTCCTCCTCCTCCTCCTCCTCCTCCTCTCACGCTTCCTCTCCCCAGCGTGACGCGGCGGACGGCAACGTCAGCGGTTCGAACAGTCAAGAAAAGGAGGATGTACTGTACCGCCGCCGTACACAGGTATATATGTATGTATATATACATATTAGGGTATTTATAGGGTTTTAGCCCCCCTCTCTCCGACCGCAGCACTCATTCCTTGGCAGCAGCTTCACTCGCTCGTGGTTCGTCTTTTCCCCCTTCCTCCCCCGATGCGTGGGCGCAACGAAAGGGGTCTTGTAGCTCCTGATATATAGGAGCACCTAGGGCTGCCTGGACCCTGCATAGACTGCGTAAATAGAGGCCTCTTTCCTCCTTGGGTTATCAGTGGCCTCTGCTTGGAGTCGAACGGCTGTGCCGTCCCGCACAGTCCCGCGCGCGTTTCCAGTCTCTCCGTGCTCTGCTTTTGTTTTGCTTTTTCTAAAACTCCTCCTGTCGATGAGTCAGCCAGGTTTTTGTCGGATTGTGGGCTCGTTTGGCCTTTGCGTAGCCTTGACCTGTGCTCGTTTCAGGTACATACTTGTAAGAATAAGAAATGAGTAAATCAATTTTGAATCAATGGATGTTTCCCAGCGCTGCCCACGTCGCGAACTCATACCTAACGACTTCCGCCCGCTGTTGGCAAACCTTGAGGAACCTTAACGACAGCTCTGGATTGCTTTCCACGCCTGGTTTTGCTGCCCGGCCTCTCACATCCGGTCGGGGTTCACCTCATGGCGTTGGTGTGGTGTGCATGTATGTGTGTGTCTGTGTGTGCTTTTGTGTTTGTATCACGCAAACAGGAGCTGGAGCGGGAGAATTTGATGGGCGAGTTGCAGCGGCGCGCCGAGCACAAACGTTCCATGGAGGAGGCTCATCGCGTCTCTCGTCAGTTGCAGCTGTCGGAGCCCGAGCGCCAGGCGGAGAGGGACAGCAGGTCTCTGGAGCGCCTAGATCTCCAGATCGCAGCCAGGCCGCCGCCGTCGCTGCCGGCGCCCGCCGCTGCCGCCGGCGGCAGCTGCTTGCGAAACTCCTCCGAAACCGGCGTGAAAAGCTCCCCCGGCAGCATCACCGCCGCAGGCAGCCTGGGTTCGTTCCAGGCGTGGCGCGGGGAGGCTTCGGAGGTGGCGCATCGGGCAGTAACAGGGCATTCGAGCCGGACTTCGGGGGAAGCGCGGGAGGCCTTAGCGACACGCGGGAGCGTCGGCGGTGGCGGCGGCGGCGGTGGATGCAGCGGCAGCACCGCCGTATCAACAGGGGGGAACTCTTTAGCTGACGTGTACGAGCATCTGTTGCTAGCCCGTGGCAGTACGGACTCGCATAGCGGCCACGGCTTGGTCCGGAAGCTGTCGGCGACGTCGGTTGGCGGCGGCAGCAAATCGAATACCGTACGTGAGGCCCTGCGCATGAGCACGTACGGCAGAACCCCTGGTGGTGGCGGTTGTGGTGGAGGTGGCGGCGGCGGCGGCGGCGGCATGCATTCGCACAGCGGGCCCGTACCGGGGGGAACGTCCCATTTGCTGCTCAAGGCGCTGGATTCGGATCTATATCGGGGTGCCCGTGAATCGCACGACGACGGCAGCAGCGTCGGCGCTGACTCGGAGTCCGATGGGCTGCGCGCCGCCGGCCGTCGATCCCAAAAGGGCCCCGGCCCCGTATCGAGGTCCGGCAAGATAATGCCCGCTTCCGCGTCGCTTAATAGCACCAACGCCCTCGTCACGGCGTCGTCATTATCGCCGCCACCAGGCCTTACGCTAGACAAACTGCCGTACAGCGATATGTACGGCACGGTGCAGATTTTGTCGGTTGACGACGAAGAGGTGAACCAGATTGTGCTGGAGGAAATCCTGACGAGTACCGGCTACCATTTCGCGCGATGCATGGATGGCTTGGAGGCCCTCGATTGGCTCTGTGCCTCCGAAACCATGCCAGATCTAATTCTGTTGGACTGTATGATGCCCAACATGTCGGGCCATGAGTTCTGCGCGACGCTGCGGAAGGTGGGTGCGGTGTTCCGGGTTTGGGGACACGGGCTCTGTGCTTGGAGCCGCGCTCTCGGTACAGATAGCAGCGGTGGGCATGTGTACAGATTACGGCAGATTATGGCATTTTCGTGTGCAGTACGATGCGCAGTACGGTTTCTTTACGGTGCTGTTGGTGAAACGTCCGTTTATCGTCAATTTTGTTCCCAACCACTACCAACTACCTTCCAACCACCAGGTGATCCCTGGGAATGTGTTGCCGGTAATCATGGTCTCTGCAAAATCGGACGAGGACAACATCGTGGAGGGATTAAGATCCGGATCCAACGACTTTGTACGGAAGCCGTACCGACGGGAGGAGCTCCTGGCCAGGATAGAGACACAGTTACGCCTGAAGAGCGACAGGTGAGCGGGAGTGAGAAGAGCACGTGAAGAGGGAAGGATGCAAGAAGAGGAGTACATAAGAGGGATCTCACCTTGTTGAATCTCCTGGTTGATGTCTCTCTCCTTCCTCACCTGCAACTCAGTTACGTCGAACATGAGCTTCGAACTTCACTTGCTACCAACTGGTCTCACATCTCCGTCCCCTCTGTACTGAGGTGCACTGATGGTTTCCGTCCCCTCTCCGTCCCCCCCCCCCCCGCGTTATCATATGTCGGCAAATCTAGTTTGATTAACCTCTCACCCCTTTCCCCGACCCGTGGTTCCGTTCTGTTGTATTCTGTTGTGTCAGCTGGTGGCTCGCTGAGTTGGTTAACAATGTGGACGGTCGGGAGACGGAGAGCATGAAGCTTCTCAAGAACATTCTGCCGGAGTCCATCATTGCCAGGATGCAGCAGGGACAGAAGTTCGTCGCGGACTCACACCCACACGGTAGGGAGATTGGTGGCGGGAATTATTGATCGGGTGGGGTGGGGAGGGGTCGGAGATGGAGCCGGGGGGGATTTCCCCCCCCCCCCAGGGGGGAAACACATGCACATGGCACATGGACTATAGTGTCTAATCATCACCCTTGGTGTATCCGTCTATCTCTGGTATGGGCAACTTAGACGTCTATGGTTCCTCTTACCCACACGTGCACCCCTTCCCCCCCCCGGCTACCACCACCATCAACGCCGCAGTTGTGATTTTGTTCAGCGACATTGTGGGGTTCACCAGCCTCTCCTCCAAACTGCCAACCGCGGAGGTCTTCCTGATGCTGTCCAACATGTTCACCGCGTTTGACAAACTGACAGACAGATTCTCGGTGTACAAGGTGGGTGGCGGGATGGACGGGTGGCGGGATGGGTCGATCAATCGATGGCTGAGTGGTCACGGGAAGAATACGCGTGTGGCTGTGTGCATGTGCAGCTGGCGGGCGAGTGCACGTGTTGCTTCCGCGCGTCCAACAGGTATCCAACCAACATACTAAACACACGCACACACGCTCTCTCTTACACTCGCACCCAGAAAACCGCTGCTATGCTTACTACTATTTGCAGCTCGGTTTATTGAGGAACTTAACCTTCACACTCACACCCGCACTCACACTCACACTCGCACCCACACTCACACTCACACTCACACTCGCACTCGCACCCGCACTCACACTCGCACTCGCACTCGCACTCGCACTCGCACTCGCACTCGCACTCGCACTCGCACTCGCACTCGCACTCGCACTCGCACTCGCACTCGCACTCGCACTCGCACTCGCACTCGCACTCGCACTCGCACTCGCACTCGCACTCGCACTCGCACTCGCACTCGCACTCGCACTCGCACTCGCACTCGCACTCGCACTCGCACCCGCACCCGCACCCGCACCCGCACCCGCACCCGCACCCGCACCCGCACCCGCACCCGCACCCGCACCCGCACCCGCACCCGCA